CTTTCTTTCTTTCTTTCTTTCTTTCTTTCTTTCTTTCTTTCTTCTTTTTTAAGATTTTATTTATTTATTTGAGAGGGGGAGAGAGCAAGAGCTGAGGGGGTAGGGGCAGAGGGAGAGGGAGAAGCAGACTCCCCACTGAGCAGGGAGCCTGATGTGATGCAGGGCTCAACCCCAGGACTCCTGGATCTTGACCTGAGCTGAAGGCAGACACTTAACTGACTGAGCCACCCAGGTGACCCTTGTGTGTATTTTCTTTTTCTTTCTTCTTTTTTTTTTTTTAATGATTTTATTTATCCATTTGAGAGAGAGAATGAGAGAGCGAGCGAGCACATGAGGGGGGAGGGTCAGAGGGAGAAACAGACTCCCTGCAGAGCAGGGAGCCTGATGCGGGACTCAATCCCGGGACTCCAGGATCATGACCTGAGCCGAAGGCTGTTGCTCAACCAACTGAGCCACCCAGGCGCCCCCCCCCTTTTTTTTTTTTAACACTGTTTAAGTCTATATAACAGTTGGTCTCATGGAGGAGAACACTGGAATAGGTTAGACTTTATTGCTCTAGCAAGCTCAAATTGTGTCAGACAACTTCCATCATCTGCCACAGTGTTGCTTGCAAGCTTGTGTGTATTTTCTTAATGGAAAGATTGACTTAGTTTAGAGACAGAATTTCCCAGTATGTAAGCATGAATCCTAAGCAAGTGGATACAATACTTTATATTTAGCTGATACTTTACAATTTGTAAAACTGTTGGGGAAGAAAAACTTTCCTTTGCCCTTTAAGGTCTTCTGGCTGGTCTAAAATCAGATTGGCAAGAGACAGATTAACAGGGGAAAGTCAAATCTCATTTTGTACATGAGGGAATCCAAATAAACGTGAGATTCCAAAGACAAGTCAGGAAAAATGATGTACATATGTTTTGGGTTTTGTTTTTGTTTTTGTTTTTTAAGTAAGCTCTACACCCAGTGTGGGACTTGAACTCATAAGTCTGAGATCAAGAGCCTCATCCTCTATCAACTGAGCTAGCCAGGTGCCCCCAAATGGAGGCATATATGTCATCCTAAACTAAGGAGAAGGGGTAGGAGTCTGGGGCTTCAAAGGAAAGGAAGACAATTCACAGGAAGAAAAGAAAGAGTAAATGTTTGGTGTAAAAAAAAAAAAAAAGGTTGCTGGGCCATCCAGAAACAATGGGACAGAGAGAGGGCTTTGATTAAATAGGCCTTGCTAGTTTTCTCTCTACTACGCCTAGTTCATATTTTAATGTAGTTCTCCGTGGTGATGGCTCTGTTCCTTGAGTAGATCCTCTGTCTAAATTCCTTTAGGCAGCTAGAGGGGAAGCTCAGAATTTCTTCCTGTGTCCTTTGGTCCTTGATTATTTTTAGCTCAAAATAATCTGCATGCCAAAGTGGCACATCTTGGGGCTACTTATTCTGAATGCCTACAAAACCTTTCCCTTTCTTTATTTCTCTTGAAGTTCCATGGAAATCATGGAGAATGGATCTCCAGTGCTCCAAACATTTGCTCTGTCTGGGTATCAGGCACTCTTCTCCTTCCTGGACTCTTCCTCTCAGCATCTCCCTCCCTCCACAGCTTGAAATTTGCAACAAAGAGATTCCATAGAGGCTACAACCCTAACAGAGACCAGGTCTGGAGACAGGGACCTAAATTAGGTGTCAGAACTCCCATCAAAATTGGGGATTCCAAAGATGCTAGTCACCCCAGCTGTGACATCAAACCCTTTCCAAACCCTTACTCCCTCCCCCCTCACCCCACCACCCACTGGCAGAGTTGATATTTTCCATACACTAGGATTCTTTTCCCAAAGATATTTTTGTCTTTGCACATATCTTGTTGCATTGTACTAGTTTATGTGTTCTGCACACAGCTAGGCTCTAAATTCCTTAAGGATCTGAGTCCTACTCAATCTTTGAATTTCTGGAACCTGGAATATAGTAGGTGCTCAATAGATAATGAAGTAATATATTTAAGATGCTTTAGTGCTGGGGCGCCTGGGTGGCTCAGTCGGTTAAGTGTCTGCCTTTGGCTCAGGTCATGATCCCAGGGTGCTGGGATCGAGCCCCACATTGGGCTCCCTGCTCAGCAGGAAGCCTGCTTCTCCCTCTCCCACTCCCCCTACTTGTGTTCCCTCTCTCGCTCTGTCTCTCTCTGTCAAATAAAGAAATAAAATCTTAAAAAAAAAAAAGATGCTTTAGTGCTATAAAGACAACAAAAAGGAAGCTCTTGAAGACTGTGAGGTCTTTCCATGTGCCCTTTTGAGGCCGGCACTTAGAAGCTCAGGGCCAGTAGCAACTCCTTTTCTACATACCTGTTATTTATAACCAGAACCTATCACCACTTGGTAAAGGGACAGCATTACCAAGAATTGCTGCATGAATTTTGGATCCTGTGTAGTGGAGGGATCTGAGTGTCAGACATCATGTATGTGGGAAACAAAGGCAGAAGAAAAAATTATTAAATTTCCTTACTACTTACAGCGCATTGACACATCCTTGAAACAGGCCGAGTGACATTCCTCTAGGGACTCAGCTGCTTCAGTGTTAATACTTTGCTAAGGGCAAAAGGCAATCTTAGCCCAACCCCCAGGATCCTGTAAGTCTACTTTAACATATAAAAATTCCTTTGGACACTTCCTTTATCTCTGCCCCCCTCCCAAGATACATGTTGGCAATCATCCCCCAGGCATACGACCCACCGATATACACCATGACTCAGGTTTTATTAGACAGTAATAAGTGACCTTTTCTGGGGC